AATTGGTGCATTTTTTGTGAAGTGTATAAGGGAATTCTTTGCAACTTTTGTGTAATTATGAAATTATCTCAAAATAAAGTTTAAAAAAAACCTCAGAAAAAGGAGTGAGAGTACATATGAGGCAGGCCTGGTAGAGCCAGGTGAGTGGTGTTCCAAGGATGGAGGTTGGGAGTCCCTCTCTGGAGGCCCCCTGCACCCTCCGTCAGCACTGGGTCAGAAGGCTCCGCTGTCTTACTCACTTTGTACCCCTGGACCCTCACTGTCCCGTTCTGAGCCTCAGTTCCTTTATTTGAGAGATGGGGATGAGGATTCCTGTCCCTTTTATTGTGATCTTGGTTTCCCAAAAGCAAACTATGCTTTCAGGAGTCCCGGGGCAGGGCGGGGGGTGTGTGTGCGGACAACAGCAGATACAAACGGTCAGGTTGATAGGAGCCCTTAATTTCTTCGTTCAATAAAACAGATGCAAGGGCTGTGAGGGTTTGCCTTGGATGAAGTCTCCAGTTCGCATAACTCAGGCACAAGGGAGCAGGAGCCCTGGCATCTCAGTTGTCTTGAGACACAGATTGGGGTCTCCTCCTGTCCAAAGGGGCAGCCAGCACACTTCCAAGGCAGCCTCACATCAGGACAGAGGTGGAGAGTCGGCTGGGACAGGGGGTGCACATGCCTCCCCTCGTTACCACCCTGTCTCTCACCTGGACAACAGCCACAGCCTCCCACCTGGCTCCCCTGACCCCACCCCCCCGGAGCTCCACTGTCCCCAAGGGAGGTTTGGGTTTCTGAGCAGGGAAGCCATATGCCGAACCTGGGTGTTCGGCTGATGGCACAGGCCACAGATTGGCACCAAGGGACCAGGGCAGGCAGATCAGGAAGGAGCAGCTGTAGCGCCCAGTCGGGACACTGACACCAGGGAAACCCTGTAATAAGTAGACTAGTCTGGTTACCCTTAGCTCCAAATCTGGCCTCCACCAGGCGACGCTGACTGTGGCAGCAACGCTTTCCAGTCTCTCCATTTCCAGCACAGAGAGGCTCCTCTCCCAAAGCCCTCCGTCCGTGGCAAGAGAGGGCTGGCAGGCACCACCTGCTTTCATCAGGAACCAGGACAAATCAATCCAGCTGAGCTGCCTCCACACTGGAACCACTGGGAAGTGAGGACTCTTCCCAGTTCCTGGGCCAGTGGTCCTTTCCCCGGAGAAGGTGGGAGCTCCTGATCCCCACTCCCTGCTCCTGGGCAACGATGAACACTCTAGGAAGACCACAGAGCCGCAGCTTTCCTGGGCTCCAGGCCTAGTGGCCTTTAGAGACCACAGGGCAGTGGGAAAGGTCTCTTGAGCATCCCAGGCCAGCAAGGCAGAGTGGGAAGCCTGTCCTGGTCGTCCAGACCGGGACCCACCCAGCACTCAGGCAGCTAGTCCTCTTTTGCTCATTGTGGCATATAAATATTCATTCATGAGTGTACGTGCCGGTTTATACATTCACAAGGGACTAAGTGTACGCACCTTCCATTATGTCTGACTGTTAACAATAATAGTGGTTAATTTTAATATATTACTTACATACACGGGACGGTCTAAGAGCTTTACATCTATCTCATTCAATCCTCAGAACGAGGTAGATCTTTATTATCCCAGCTTTATAGAAGAGGAATCTGACACATGGGGAGATACGTAGCATGCCCAAGGTCACAAGGATTGGGATTTGAACCTAGGTCATCTGAATCTAGGGACTTTGCTCCTGATCATGACCCTAATACTGCCTCCTTAAATAGGTGCTCAACAAAGGTTTGAGGAACTGAATTATGTGGAAAAAAGAGAAAAAGAGAACGAGAGGGAGTGAAATGAGTGCAGCTTTCATCTTGAGATCACCCCAGTCCCCAGTGCCTGGCGTGCCCACGCCCTTATTCAGTGTTTCCTGGATCGGCCTGTGTGTAACATCAGATAGTGCCTACGTGAGAAAGAGCGAGAAGGAGCGAGATTTGACTACCAGTGTTCCTCTGCTTATGCAAAGGGGCCGGGAGAGGAGGTGCAGTCAGATCATCTTTAATCTTTCCCACAGGCTTTTCCTGCTGCTAGCCACCCCTCCCCCACCCGAATCTGGTGGCTTGGACCTGGGACTGAGCAAGGAGGGACGAGTATTTCCCACAGCCCCAGGCCTCCCCACCTGCCAGAGTCAGGCCCTGTCACTTTGAGAGCTTTGCAAGATTGTCCCTGAGACACACTTCCTGGTGTTTCTGCTCAAACAGCGTTTGCTGCAAAGTATGCCAAAGCATTTGGGCTTCAGTTTTTGTTTCAGAGTATGCCAATGTTTTCATTTGGAAGGGGAAGTGTTTCTGTTGATGTGAAGAGATAAAATAAGACATTCTTCACCAAGTTACACTGACTGAAAGTCAAGAGCTTGGCTTGGGGGCAGGGATTCATCTTAGAATCCCCAGGGCCTGGCAGAAGAGCAGGGCTAACGTTTGTTGAATGACCCAATGAGTGAATATGCAAAAGGTCTAGAACCAGGTGTGGTATATGATCAATACTCAGTACAGGTTCTGAACAGACCCCATAGGTTCTACCTCCAAAAGGTGTTCTTGGTCTCTGTGTGTTTCTCCACCTTCACTAACTTTGCCTCATCCAAGCCTGCATCACCTCTGGCCTGAGCAACTAACCAGCTCCTAACTGGCTTCCCTATTTCCGCACTTGCCCCTACGGCTCATCTTGCCCACAACCGCCAGTCCTCTTTGCAAAATGTGGACTGGAATTGTCTCATCCCCTGCCTAAAACCTTCTGATGGCTTCCCATCGCTCGTGGCCGGGCCTCTCAGGTCCTGCATGATCTGGCCTTGCCCACCTCACTGACTTCTCCTGGGGCTGCTCTCCTGTCACACTGGCCTCCTTTCAGTTGCTGGAAGAACCAACTCTCTCCCCTGCCTGTCCCCCTCCACGTACTTGGCACTGCGGGTCCCTCTGCCTGGATAGCTTTTCTCCACAACTTTTTTTTTTTTTTTTTTGCAGTACACGGGCCTCTCACTGTTGTGGCCTCTCCCGTTGTGGAGCACAGGCTCCGGACGTGCAGGCTCAGCGGCCATGGCTCACAGGCCCAGCTGCTCCGCGGCATGTGGGATCTTCCCGGACCGGGGCACGAACCCGTGTCCCCTGCATCGGCAGGCGGACTCTCAACCACTCTGCCACCAGGGAAGCCCTTCTCCACATCTTTACATGTGGCTCCTTCCATCAATTTAGGGCTCAGCTCAAAGGTGTCATTTCCTCAGAGAGGCCTTCTGTGAAGCCCCTGTCTGAAGCAGCCTATCTCTAGTCTTCTGTTTCACTTACCGAGGCATTTATTGAGCACCTACTAGATGCCAGGTGCTGTTCTAAGTGCCAAGGAAATAGTAATGAACACAATAGAGGATGCCATGCCTTCTTACATGCCTTCAGAGCTCTCAAAAAATCTCACTGCCTTGTTTGGGAACCTGCTTATCTTTCTCACAAAGTGCCAGGAGGGCTGGTGCTGAGTCTGTCTTGTTCACTGTGTTCACCCACCAAGCACATTAGGTACTCAGCAAATATCTGTTTAATAAAAGAACAAATTGATGGATGGATGGCAGGCAGGCAGGCCAACTGGTTAGGTATGCAGAGCAGCTGACACATGCTCCACCTGGCACTTGGCCCTGGCTAAGGTCTCCCTGAGCTCAAATGAAGCTTTCTTCAAAGAAATCTCACTGTCAGCCCCTCAGGTTGACACTGCTAGTGGGTCCTGCCCGCCTTGCATCACCCTCTGACTATGGTCATCTTGGCTAAGATAGGCAAGAAGAGGGGGGTAAACGTAGCATGCTTGGGGTGAGTGACATTAGTGTCCATTTTCCAAAAGGAGCCCTTTTGACTTCCCTGGTGGTCCAGTGGTTAAGACTCCATGCTTCCACTGCAGGGGTCACGGGTTCGATCCCTGGTCAGGGAGCTAAGATCCCACATCCCACATGCTGGGCCGCCAAAAAAGGGTAAAAGGAGCCCTTGCCCACCACCTCAGTATCCCCCCACCACTGCCACTCAGGACCTGTGCCTAGCACCGTCCAGCTGAGGGGCTGAGCCGAGGAATTCCTTCCTGTCCCATGAACCCTCACCAGGCCCTCTCTCCTCTAGTCCAGCTGCCTCTCTTCCTTGCTGTGACTTTGGCCAAATCTTCCTCCTTTCTGGATCTTCATTTCCCTCCCAGAAACACACAAGGTGAGGCTGGATACAGCTTCCTGGTGGCAGCTCAGAGGCAGGACTTTAACAGCTCAGTGCAATGATCCTGTGGTCCCTTCTTCCACTGGCCCAAGAGCCCCTTGAGTTTGCCTTGCAAACACTGCAGGCAAAGCCACCCAAGCACCAACCCCCTCGCTGGCCTGGTCTGTGAAAGCAGCCTGCGAAACTGGCAGCCCCTGAAGATTGGAGCTGCTGGCACTCTGAAATCTGACTCCAAAACGGCAGCCAAGCCAATGCCAAAGGAAGTACAGGGTTCTGTGCTGAAGGAGGCTTCTCCTCTCACAGCATCAGCCTGGAGTCCTTGCTCTCAGTCCCCACCCAGTCCCCAAGGGGCCACAGGACAAAGGTGATCAGTGCCTGGCTTCCAACCTCTTTTAACACTGCAAGTCTTTATCCTTCCAGGACTAATGAGAATCCCCCAAAAGCCAAGGTCACCATCAAGACAGGTTAAGGATGGGGGGAGGAGTTGACAGGCCTGTCTCAAATGTATCTGGGTGCAAAGGCTTTGACAGTTGGTACTACAGCTAACCAAGAAGCGACTTAGGTCCTGCCTCCCTTCCCTTCTTCAATAGCTGTCACCTTCACTAAGGGGAAGCTTTCCTGCCCTAACTAAGGTCCTAAGAAGAGTCCAGCCATTCCTGGCATCCAAACAGACCTGGAAGAGGTGGATGGAGAAATCAGAAGCCTGGGGGAGGGGTGTGTGTCCGGCTTGGGATGCCTCCCTCTTCCTCGCCAGTGCCCCAACCCGCCCTCATCCTGAGCAGAGGGCACTTACAGGCCTCGGAGGCCGAAGAGGGCCTCGTCCTGGGAGTCCCATCCCTGGCCAGACGGTGCCCTCAAACAGCAGCGGCGGCATGGTTCGTGCGCCGGTCCGGGCCGAGGGTCGCGGGTCGTGGGGAGAGCGGGGGACAGCGGCCAGGCCTACTCCAAGTAACCATCGAAGACGTCGAGCTCCGAGTCGGCATCGTAGAGGCCCGAGCCGGGGTCGGAGAGCACGCCGAGGTCCACGAGCGCCTGGTCCATGTCCTCGGGCAGGAATACGAGGCCCACGTTGAGGACGATGTACTCCATGAGGAAGGCGTAGTACAGGATCAGCACATTGACGAAGAACAGGCCCACGTAGAACATAGAGGGCAGCAGGGGCGGCGGCACGGAAGGGACCAAGGGGCCCAGCGCGTCCAGGTGGGCCGCGACCCGGGCGCCGGGCATGCAGGGGGCGGCGAGGGCGGCGGCGGCCCGGCGATCCCAGCGAGCTCAGCCGCTGCGGCGCCCGGGCGGCCGGCGAGAGGGCAGCTCAGCCATCCAGGGGCGCCCGGGGGCTGGCCGAGGCAGCGCTGGGCCCCGGCGGTGCCACCCCTGGGATGTGCGTCGGCCCCTGCGGAGGCGCCCCGGCCCCCGAAACGTGCCAGGAGGGTCACCCCACCCCCAGAGGTGCCCACACGGCACTGTCGATCCACCCAACGGTCAGGCGGGCCCCTAAAGTGGCCGGCAGCGGCCCGGCTCCTCCGATGCTCCCCGCTCCCGCTCAAGGGCCCTCGCAGCGCCTGCGGGGACCCCACCGCAGTTCAGCGTCAAGGGCCAGTCCTGGCGACGGTCTCTTCAGCCGCTCCCGGCCGTTCCCCGAGCCCCATGCGCACCCCCGAAGGCCCAGCACCCATTGCTGCGACCGCCGCGTCGCCCTCCTGGTAGCGTTCCGAGCACCGCCTCCGGAGCAGCCCCGCGCTCATTGGCCCACCGCCCCCTGCCCTCGCTCATTGGCTCGCCCAACGTCCGAGCTCACTGGCCCGAGCCGTCCGGGGGCGGGTACCGCCTCGCTCCGCCCCTAGAGCCGCTGGCTTCTGAGTTGCTTACTAGTTCCGGATTCAGGGCCGATCTGGAATCCAATTCGCTCTGGGAATCCGCGACAGAGTAGGGGGAGGGGAAAGAGTCAGAACGCAATTCAAACCTAGACGTATCCTAAGGCTACAAAAGCTGAAGGTAACCGCGAGCTTCATCAGCACCCGGCTGGACTTGAGTACTGGCGTCACGCCTTTTTGGGACTCAGTTTACCTGCTGAAAAAGGGGGCGGGGGGGGCAGGGGCGGTGAACCTTACCTTGAAAATTTTGGCCTTTCCTAAAGTGGCAATTTTCCACGGTGGGGAAGATCAATCAGTGCCGCCTTCATCTCTCCAAATTCTGGCTGCTGGAAGGTCTGCCCCCTCGGCGGGGCGGGCCGGGCATTTTGGTAGGTGGAAATCTGCCTAATAGGGTTCCGTGACACCTGAGTAAAGAAACTCCCGGCAGGTCAGACCTGCAGCACTAGGGTTGCTTCTTGTTTTTACTTTGTAAAACACGTTTTAAAACAATAATAGTGCACGTGGTTAAACATTCAAACAACCAAGAAGTACACAGAAAAGTGAGTCTCTTCCACTCGCTGATTCCCCTCCCCAGCAGTAACCCTTGTACGTCCTTCAGGAGACTGATTTTGCCCAAGGTGGCTCCCAAAGGAGTCCACAGACCTTTAAATCTCAGGCCACGTTGAGCTGGGTGCTCTCCAGGCATTGCTTAATTGGAGCCAGATGGGGAAGTGTATGTTACTCATTTTTGCAGATGAGGAAACTGAGGCCCAGAGAAACAGGAGGACCCTGGAAGCTGCTGGGCCTGTGTGTGTTTGGAGGCCAGAACCTGCCCTTTTTTTTCCATGACTGTCTTTTGCCCCTTTAGGTGAATTACACAGCAAACCATTAACCCTCCAACTGCTGAAGGTGAAAATCTTCATTCATTCATTTATTCACTCTGACAATATTTGTTGAACATTTATTATATGCCAAACCTTGTGCTAGGCACTGGGGAGAATATTGACCCTTAGCCCAATTCTGTCCTGGGCACAGTTAATGGGACACAGTAGACCTTAGATAACTGTGAGGTGTAGAAATGAATGAATGGATGAATGAATGGTGAACAGGGCAGTATCGCCTCCATGGAGCTTCCCACTCCCGATCCAGGAGAGAAATTTAGATACATCTTCTTGGCTGGTGTAGGAAGCTGTGTGTTTCCTTATTTTTATAAGTGTGGTTGTTTTGGAAATGGCATGGATTTTCGGCGAAGACCAGAGAAATCCTCTGAAAGCACAGGACATTCAGTTTTGGTACATTGTTGCTTGAAGGCCTTTCAATATTTATTTTTTAATTGAAGTAGAAAAAGAAAAAGTCTGTGAGGACAAACCAGGACGTTACCGGTTTTGTGAAGTTTCGTTTGTTGGGGCATAAAAATAAGGGTGCCTGGGTTTGAACCTTGGGTCTGCCGCTTATTAACTGTATGACCTTGGGCAAGTCAATCCCTCTGTAATTCAGTTTCCTCCTGGGTAAAATGGGGATAATAGCAGTACCCACCTCACAGGGATGTTGTGAGAATTAAATAACAATATATGTAAAGCGCTTAGGGCAGTGGCACGCGGCATACGCCAAGCAACAGCTATTCTTATTCTTATCATAAAGGTAATAATTGTTAATATTGTGGTAACTTTTATTCCCCAATCTTCACGGATTCATTTCTCAGGGCTCCGCCCATAGGTTTCCCATTCCCGCCTATCCCTAAGATACTGCGGACTGTCCTCCTCTCGATCCGCCTCTTTTCCAAGGTCGCCGGCCTGAAGTTGCGTGATGCACTCCGGGCCTTGTAGTTCCTTCGGAGAGTCTTGTCAGCGGGGGCCTCGCGGGCGAACTGCGTTTCCCAGCGTTCCTCGTGACGGCGCCGTAAAGCGCGGCGGTCGAAGGGCCGGTTCCGGCTGAATGTCAGTGCTGGACTGTGGGCCGGGGGGGGAAGGTGGTTGGCAGTCGCTCCAGCACCTCAACCGCTGCTTCCTCTGCTTGTGCCGCCGCCGCGGGCGCCCGGCCGCTCGGCCGCTCGGGCATGAGACCGTGAGGCAAGCGACTGGCTAGGGCCGCCGACATGTTTGGCCGCTCGCGGAGCTGGGTGGGCGGGGGCCATGGCAAGTCTTCCCGCAATATCCACTCCTTGGACCACCTCAAGTGAGTGTACTGGGGGCAGAAGGGGGAGGCCGCGGGGCTGGACTTGGGGATGGAGGCGCATAGCCCCTGGCCGGGGGCGCTGGGAAGTGTGAGAGCGGAGGCGGAGGGCCGAGAGAGGCGCTCGGGAAAGGCTGTGCGGCGGTTAAGCGCTAGGGCTCTGGACTTAGGGCGCCTGAGTTCGAACCCTGACCCCGTAGCTCCTCTCTGTGTGACCTTGGGCAAGTCGCTCCGCTTCTCAGAGTCTCAGTATCCCCATCTGTAAAGTAAGGGGATGAGATTTCGGTTTACGGATGCAGACTTCGGTCTTGCTGGGGCCGGACGATGGGCACCAAGCTTCCCCGGGGTGGTACTTCTTAGACTGGACAGCTTACGGGTCAGAGGTCTGGATCCTGGAGTCAGACAGATGTGGGTTTGAACTTAAGTGGATGAATTTAGGCCTCAGTTTCCTCAGTTGTAAAATGGATATAGTGAGAGCACCTGCTTTCTACGATTGTTTTGAGGGTAGGGTCAGAGAATGTACGTAAAGCTGGAAGCTTCTACAAGTGCTCAGTAAAGAACAATAATTAAAAAACAAACTAGTGGGCTTCCCTGGTGGCGCAGTGGTTGAGAGTCCGCCTGCCGATGCAGGGGACACGGGTTCGTGCCCCGGTCCGGGAGGATCCCACATGCCGCGGAGCGGCTGGGCCCGTGAGCCATGGCCGCTGAGCCTGAGCGTCCGGAGCCTGTGCTCCGCAACGGGAGAGGCCACAACAGTGAGAGGCCCGTGTACCGTAAAAAACAAACAAACAAACAAAAAAACAAAGTAGTTTCTTAGGGGAGTCTAAAGCGTCAGAAGTAGAGCTCCGAGGGAGGCAGGTGGCAAAGGTGGTCCTGGGAAGCAGGAGTACACAGAGTGGCTTTGCAGTTAGACTGGCATTCAAATCCTGATTCCACCATTTAATGGCTTTGTGACCTTGGACAAATTGTTTCACCTCTCTGAGCCTCTGATTCCTCGTCTGCAAATGGGGATGGTGAACATTGTGCAAGGATTCAGTAATATTGTGCGTGGAAAGAGATCGATCCAGTGTCTGTTATACAGTTGGTGGCCAATAATGGTAACAGTGTTTATCAGCTGGGCAAGGCCTTCCCAGACCACCCTACCTAAAGTGCCTCCCCTGCCTCAATTCCTTTCTGTTAGATTTCATTCATTTGATTAATCTCCACTGTCTGCAATTATCCTGTGTGGGTTTTTGTTTTGTTTTGTTTTGTTTTTTTACTGCTTTTCTGTTTGCTACTAAACTGGTACTTCCCGGAGGGCAGAGATGGCTTGTTTTGCTCAAAGCTGTATTCCCAGCATCTAGCTCTGAGCCTCTCACACAGTAGGAGCTCAATAGATACTTAAAGAATGAAAAAAATTAATCGGGGAGAGGTGCAGAGCATGCAGGCAGAGCCTAGGATATTTTAGCGGGGTGGGCGGGGTGGAGGTGAAGGAAAATAGAGACCCTTGAAGAGGGAATGACTTCAGGGAAGAAAATACAGTGTTGAGGGGTGGGGGGAGAGAGTGGGGGAGTAAGCAAACCTTTGGTGGTGAGAAATTGGCTGATTTCCAGAAGGAGCTCTCAGGATTACTAACGGGAAAGAAGGATGGAGAGGGCGGGCAGGGAACAGTTGCAGGAAGACAGGGGCCCCTGGAAAGTGTTGGTGGGAGGGAAGATGGGGGCTTCTCATTTGGCTGGGGGTAGGGTGCTGTAATTCTCAGCTGTGTCCTTTCTAGCATGGAGCAGGTGTTTAATAAATGTTTGTGGGTCTCAAAGAGTGGGCGGCAGGAGGGATCATTATGTAATAAGGAATGGTTTTTGGGAGTGGTGATGAGAGAGGACGTGGGGAGGAGAGAGGCCTAGGGCAAGCACGGGGCTGTGTAGGGAAGCAGGAATCTTAAATGGGAGGGCAGCTGGACGGGAAAGGGAGAGGCTTAGAGATTTCAGGAATTTAGAGAGTGGGTGGATGAGGCCGAGAAGGGGAGGAGGGATATCTAAAGGAGGTTGGGCCTGCTGCCAGCATCCAGGTACCTGCAAGCTCTCACCTAACTCTGCCTGACTCTAACCCTTTTAAATTACTTTAGTAATTATTGAATGTATTTTCGGTGCCAGGTGCTTGTTAAGGAATTCCTGTGTGTTATTTCCTTTAGTCCTCATAAGTCTTAGGAGTTGTCAGAAATATTATTGTTTCCATTTTTTAGACTGGAAATTAAGGTCCAAAGAGGTTCAGTCACTTGCCCAAGGTGACAACAGCTGTAAAGTGTCAAAGCCAGGATTTGACTTCAGTGTTTGCACTCATTACACTGTCTTTTTGAGTAAAACTTCCTAAAAGTCAGTTTGGAAAGACTTTCAACTTGGCTGAGTCTCACTGCCCAATGGCCATCTTCGCCCTCTGCCCAGCCAGGGAATGGTAAAGGTTCTCAGGTTCCTTTGAAGTATCCTGGGAACTGCCCAGGTTCATTGTTTAGGTCACACGGCTGTTGGGTGCTTTTTGGAAACCAGAGCTGCCTGCCCTGGATCTGGTGGATCAGCTGAATCCATACTGTAGCCTGAAGAACCTGGCGATTTGTGTGTTGCAGGGGGGCTTAGAAGATCCCAAAGCGACTTGGGAAAGAGTGCCATAAACAGCTAGTGCCCACCCCAATGCTTGGGCACAGAACAGCCCGTTCCCTGAGGGAGCTCGCCGG